ATTTTATTTTTATGTATATATATATATATATATATATATATATATATATATATATATATATATATATATATATATATATATATATATATATCGTGCAGAAGATTAAAATATCTATCTTTAATTCTTTCATTTTTCCCTTCTCTGTCGCGCGCAATGCTTATCTGTTTATGCTTATACTCGATTACGTGATATTGCTCAGAGTAGATTCAATTTGATCAGACGATATTAGATCAGTTGTGCCTGTTTGGTATGTCTCTGCAAGCTGGGACGCGGCAAGCCGATACGTAGAATCGTATCGATAATCAACCGAACCGTTTATTTCGAAGTGACATAGGTCAAGTTTTGACACAATTGTTTTGACAAAATCGCGAGTTCGCCTAATTAAAGTTGCTGTCATTCGACATTTTCAATATCTACCGATGTCTCTCAGGCTACTTTCAATCCTCTGGACTTCCTCGCGCGTTTTGCCTTTACTCTGAAGAGCACCGCGAATCTTTTCAAGATTCGATTTACGTCACTTCGAAGAATGCGACTGGGGCTGTGTCCCTCGACCACGTATAACGCAAGCATCATCGACGTATTCGGGTTTCAGGGTTCCCGGCGTTCACGGCGGCTGCGGCCGCTGCGGCGGCGGCGGCGCAGAAGACGAAGTTCAGCAACACGGACAAGCAGATTGAGGGTCCCGAAGGTTGCAACCTCTTCATCTACCACCTGCCGCAGGAATTTAGCGACACGGACCTCATTTCCACCTTCTTGCCGTTCGGCAACGTCATATCCGCCAAAGTTTTTATAGATAAGCATACGCACATGAGCAAGTGCTTCGGTGAGTTGAGTTGATGTTTATCGAACAGTCACACTAATCAAAAATGAAGTACGAGCGTTCGAGTACCCGAGTGGTTTGAATCGCATTCATTATCGTGCGATGTTACGTTAGTGCAAAACAAGATTTCGCCGCGTCGTATTTTAGATGTACTCGTCCCGCTCCCAATCTAACTTCGCGTTAGCGTGACGCCGCACGAGTAACGAATTTACCGACGTTATTCCAGGTTTCGTGTCATACGACAACGCGTCGAGCGCGCAAGCGGCGATCCAGACGATGCACGGTTTCCAGATCGGCATGAAACGACTGAAGGTCCAGTTGAAACGGTCCAAGGACGCCTCCAAGCCGTACTAGCCGATGTCACAGACCGTTCGTAGGTAGATACCAAGGACTTCTCGGACACCTCGCCTCGGCTCGACGGCGTCCTTAATCGGGGGCGGCGCTCGCGCGTACAAATTAACAACCGCGTCGGTTGACACACGACTGTTCCGCTGTGCGGGATCATCTCGCGCAGGCTAGCTAATAGGTCATCTTTAGGTATATAGGCAAACGAAGAAAGTATTCCACGATGCTCTCTAGTCAAGCGATATTTTTCACGAAGGTAGCGCGAGCTAACGGGCTACGATCGAGCGTCCTCTGGACGCCGAAGAGGAGACGTCTCGCCGTTCGACACCTTCGCCGTCCTATCGAAACAAGGCTGTGATAATCCAGAAGACTCTCTTGTCCATCGGACTGACTTTTTTTCCGAGGTGCAGGAACGTACTCTTTATCCTTTTAACGTGTCGCTTGTGCGAACTGTCCCGCCGAACTGTCTTCACTTTCTTTTTACCTGCCGGTCCGCCCGTGTGTGAACTCGAGTACATTTTTAATCCAACGATCTGTCTACTCCGCTCACGTCCGTGCCACGTCGCGTTCGTGTGTCGTAGTCACCGTCTGTTGACCCTTTTTAGTGTCGTATTAAATATATACAAGTCCCGACTGCTTTCTCTCTTCGACAATCCATTCCAGTAATTTTATGGACAGACAGGATAGAATTAACGAGTCAGTATTATTATTTCAGGCAGCTCGCTCCCGTAGACTGTAGTGACCGATTTCAGAGATTATGACAATGGAATCTATTCCTAGCGCACGCTCGTATCGACGAGATATAATTAATCGTGATCGAGACCGCGAAAGCAACGAACGTCTATGTAGCTCTAAGAATCTCCGTGTACGACAGTATAAAAGTTCCACCTAGAGTGACACAGTGGCGCTTAACGCGTTGAATAAGATAACGGATGCAACTCGTGATGCACCTCAAACATGCATTTCGAGAACGGGTTTTCTCGAACTCGTGACTAAATTGCAACGAATATAGTCTCCTCCGAAATAAATAATACGTGCAGCTTCCAAAGACTTTTCCGTTTACGCACTAAACTGCGCGACGAATAAAAGCTTCTAGAGTTCAAGCTGATCCGAATCTCGGATAAAAGCTCGTTACGTTCTCAGGAACGGGCTTCGGCGCGGCGCGAATCTAGCGTTAAACGCGTTCATTCGCTTCCGGATTCAATCTGTGTCGTACGCGAAGAACGTGTTCGAATATGAACGGTGCACGCTTGAAGATTGAACAGCCACACGTTCGTCGCTAAACGCGCGACTCTCGTAATACGGGTCTTTCTCACTTGCTCTCTCTTTCTCTGTCTGTCTCTTTTTCTCTGTCTCTCTTTCTCTTAAATCGTAATATTCGCCCGTATTATCGCACGGTGTCGAGAACATGTTCGTCTTTTCGAATCTCGAAGGTGCAAAATTCGCCGGCACGTTTCACGGCGATGCAATCAAACTACGTCTCGTTGTAAGGGCTGCCAGTATAAAGCTTTCTGTGCTAACTTACTGTTGCACAAAGTGGAATTACGTACGTGAAGTTCACTAACATACGTAGCTTTTTCCCCCCTAGGAGAGTAAGAGTAGCTCGCTTTTGAATTTTCACGCAGCGTTCTCAAGTCGTATCTTGTAACTATTTGACGATTTGATTTTTTCTTTCTGTTGTTTTCATTTTTCCTGTATTCTTTGTAACTTATTTCTTTCTACTTCTCTATCTATCTCTATTTCTTTGTCCCTCTACTATCTTTATTCTCTATCTCAATAACCACGTATAGAGTTTGAGCCGGTAATCGTACCGGCGGTAAAGATACGAGCGATGCACACAAGGACCTACCTCACTCATTTGTAATTATACCAGCAGCTATTATGCCGCGCGTGTATCCTTCGTTCACTGTTCGAGGCGCACAGAATTCGATACGGTCTCACGTGATAATAATATCACTAAGTCGATGTATTATTATCACATATTTTTTTTTTAATTTAATGGTTAATCACACGCTACGACGCTTTATTAGTTAGTAGTACTAACATTGCTATGTGATTTTTGGGGTGGGGGGAGGGGGGAGGGGACGACGAAGCCGATCGTCGCAAGCGATGGGTAAGATACGCCAAACGCTTTCGTATAAATGAAGTTATAACGGTGATTCGCGTCCACGAAGTTTATTCCGCTAGTCGTGATTATACGGTTGTCGCGCGATTAACGTTCTCGAACAATCGACAAAGACAACGGCTTTCGACTACGGAACGACTGTTGCAGTTATTCGCATGCGATTTGCATTCGGAAACGGTTGGCGAATTTCACCGAGCGCGTTGTATCGGCAACGAGTTTCCACTGATGCGCCGTCAAACACTTTGTTTCTCTTTCCTTGTGACTGTCTGTCAAGCTGAACAAAGTGGACGCTCGTTGCTGAAAAGGACGGTTCGGCAAACTACCTGTGTACACGATGCACGGTGTCGTCGGTTTTGGAGGCCCCGCGAACGTCACCTTTGATGTTCAAACTTTGACTGATGGTCAAAGCGATTCGGCGCGCTGTGCGCGCAATTTTCTTATCAAACGTGTAACTTTCGCGATAACCGCTAACCGTTCAAGTGTTAACTCTACGCTTACGATTGCGCGAATTATGTAACGATTCACCATTCTGTGTTAAATTTTACCTTGCGCGCGAGGTGAAGCTTGACTAATACATTGGACAGTTTACTTGGGCTCTCTGCAGACTGTTGACGAAATTAATCATTCTTTCGAGTTCTCTGTCTTGAGGAACACCGTGGCCACGCGAGTTTTCATCATCAACGAGTGATAGTTCACAAGCATTGTCAGTCTGCAGAGGCGTATAGAACGGGTATCTCGCGGGGCCCCAGTGGAACCATCACCGCGCGCGTTTGCTCGGGGATGAACCTTCATATTTGGTGTGTGGTGGTGACTAACCTGTCCGTGTGTTTGTTTGTGTGCCAGCAGGTGGCCTGTGACGTTGTGACCGTGTACTCTCAATCGGAGTCGCCGTGCCATGTCAGTCTCAGTCAGTCAAATCGGTATCGATCGTTCGCTCGACCGGTCGATCGATCAGTTACGACTCCCCAGTCAGTCTCTCGATCGATTTATCTGTGTCTGTCGGTGCCTGTACAAAGAACAACACCCGCCCAACACGCGCTCTCACTTCTACCGTAAGATCCTCCACCCCGCCGACCTATTCTTCTCACTCTCTCTCTCTCTTCGTCTCCTACCCTCGACCCTCTCGCGAGCCGTTATCATCTGTCCACGACGACGAGGTTGCGAAATCGCTCCCGTTTCCCGCGATCGCGCCGAGAGAAGATCGTCGCCACGTCGATCCACGAAAGTCACACGCCTCGTTCTCTCGATCGCGGCTGCGTGCGCGAAACCCCCTGCGGACAAATTCCCGTGGACGGCCGTCGGACTCGCGGAAGAATTCACGCGGACGCCGAAGGTGTGTGGAAATTCGCGACCGAAAAAATTGCTGCGCGCATGCAGAGGAACACGACGAAGAGAAAACGCCAGGGAAGCGGAACGAGAGGCGGAAGGCGATGCACCGACGACCGAGCTGGGTTCCTCGAACGAAGCTAAAACGCGCTATGTTAACCGTCTGTCTATCCCACGGTCCTGTGTATATACAGATATATAAATATATTATATGTATATATACGCACATATATGTGCACGTGTGTATGTATGTGTGTGTGCGTGCATGCGTGCCTGTGGGTATGTGCGAATGTACGCGCGTGTGTCGAGAGCGTGACGAGGATTCTCGTAGCTAACTGGCAATGAGCGACACTCTTCGTCTTACGCGGTCTTCACGACGAAACAGGACAAAAGGACAAGAAACGTGCGGCACGTGCCGCGAACCGTATGCGAAAAGTTTCTTATACATAACTATACATAAACATAGGTATACATACATGTTCATAAATCGAATTATCGACTGAAAACTATTTTTATCGGCTCTATTGTCGGGATCGCTGTCGGCGCCTCGGCGCTTGTTTATATATATAAATAAACGTGCAGACGCACACACACACGCATGTGAGTCGCGACGAATTGATATCGATATGGATATGAGTGCGTGTGTGCGCGTGTCTATCTGTCTGTCTGTCTGTGTGAAGGGACGCGGGAGACGGAGGCTGGAAATGGAAACGTGAAAGGACGAACAATGATCGTGCGGGACCGGCGCGCGTGCGATTTCTTAGGCTTAGATCGTGCAAACATACCAAAAACGGAACGGATACAAAGAAACAAAACAAAACCGGTTGCGGAGAAGCCGGAGTATAAGAGACATTTTGTAATAATGACTTTGTGATAAGATTGTATCGTATAGGAACCGAGAAGGATATGCGGGGCCGCTTTCCGATCCCGTAAAGGGCGAAATTTACCGAGCGAAATCACCACGTTCGATCGCTCAAGATTAACGCGAATCGAACGCGTTCGATACCATCGCCGTCAAAAACACTGCGAACGTAGACAAGTACGCGAGACGCGGTGAATTTTTAAACGAATTTTACCGTCGGCTGAATTTCTCGACCGCGCACTCACATCGTCTTCTTCGTCAGGTTCGCGAGTTGCATCTTGTGCGAACTGGAGTGACGTTAGCCAGAGTTAAGAGTAGGATCGATCGTACAAGCTGGTTGGATTGACACGACGAGCTGAAAGTCTCCACACACCGACGCGCACGGTCAAAAGAAATCAGAATATCGTGGAACGATATGCCATGACGTGTGAAAACATCGAAATTAATTTTTAGATTTATTAAAAGTACTTATGACACCGGCTCAGGTCAATTTATTCGGTAAATTGTTAATTAGACGAATGTTTAAGGACACAACAAGTCCCGTCGGATCGGTTCGTGGAGACTTGGCATCGCGCTAATGTAATCTAACAACGTACTTCTTCACACCTGAGATCTATCTTCGCTTTATTTTGATTAACAATCACAATATTCGTTATATTCTACGTTCGAGATGAAACAAACGTATCGGTATTTACGTTGCGAGCAAATAGATATAGACGTTTTATTTTTGAAGATGCGAAGAAGACGCAAGTGACGAAATTTCAGAGCGTCGCGTGGATGTTTTCGAAGTAACACGATAAGACGTTTACGACGTTCGTTGAACGTTTTCCCTCCGGAAGTTTCCTCAGCCCGGGAGTTTTCCGAACAACAAAGACGCGAATTACAAGCTGAAATAACGGGTGGGAATCGAAGACGTATTTTACGCAGCAGCTTCCTTCCGACGTTCCTCAAGAAACCTTCGTGCTGTCTTTTTTCATGACATTGTCATGATGCCTTTTCATGATCATTGTCCACACACACCTCAAGTTTCGACATAATACATATCCTCCCATTCCTCGTTTTTTCTCGCGTATTGTCAATATTGGACAAAGCAAATTTGCGTGTATTTGATTATTGAATGGCAATTACGTTCTTTTAAAAATGGAATAGTTTATTGTGGTCGTTTTTATGTTTTTATATTTAGGGTATTTGGAAGTGATCTCGGAATTCTTAAATGTAAAATAGATACGATATCGTTGAAAAAGAACAACAATTAATTATTGTTGATTTGTCATTCGAAAATGATGTTTCTTCGGGATACCGAGATATATCAATTTTGCTCGCTTTGTCATTATTAAATGCTATTCCACGGTTAAATTTACGTGATCTTGCTTTGCCACCAACAACATTAACATGCACACGTGCGTCAGACCAAATGAATGGAGCAACCGGTGTCGTTGCGAATAAAATTCTCACGAACAAACAAGCTTTACCCGACACTTGCGATCGTCTTGGATGAGCAGGGGAGACGTCGCGCTCCGTGCAAGTTACCAAAGATGTGTCTTTAATTAATTGATGTACTTACACAACAACGCTAACGACTAATCCTCCACGTTGATGTTGAGCGTCTGCGCATGAAGCAAAACTAAATCTATGTGTAGAATACTGTTATTTCATATATAACGACTAACGATATAACAAACGATTTAAAAAACAGCAAATAAAATCGAGTTTTCGACCATACGAATACAGATTTTGACGCAAATGTCAGACTTGGTGTTCAAGAGATAGTATTGCGGATTAATCGTTGCGTTAATTATTTAAGCACAGAATCCATACGTGCAAACAACTGTCAGGCACATAAATGATGTAACTCAAAATTATGCGTAAAATATCAAATCTTTTAAAAGTATTACAGTATTCAACACATAGACTACATATGCGTAAACGATCAACGTCAACGAGCCACACATGTTAAGTCGGTCGACTAACAATAGCAAAACGAGCACGCGTACACGTTAGTCTTGTGCGTATACAAATAGAGCCTAGTCACAAATATCGTTAACAATCGAAGAGTCGTTTCTATGTTCGTGTCATTCTTATCATCGTCCTCAGCACGTGCTGACGTTACTGTTAGTGCTGCTACGTTTATCATATGTGGCTATTATTATTATTATCACTATGTTCATCTTTAACTAGTTTATACTTGTTGCTCTAATTTTTGATTGCTATTATTATTAGAATTATTATTATTGCTATTATAATTCGTACCTATAGTTATTTTATTTTATATTATTATTCTTAGTATTATTACTAGTTAGTACTCTATGATGGCGAATGATGGCATCGTTGGCAATTATTATTACTATTATGACCATTACTTCTATTACTTTTATATGTGTATTATTGCACTTTGCGCGACAGCGATCGCGATTATCGTCTGTTACTGTTACCGATATCGATCGCTCGACTTTAATTTAGCGATGCCTCGATGGCAGACTATCAGTGTAAATTAGGACCAGGTCAACCGGGTACTTTTATCTTTGTTCTTATAGTACACTGCGTGCGAACGAGTGGTTTCTTTCGCCATTAAATAACACGAGTCGCGTATCTGCGCGCAATCATTACACGGTCAAATAAGGATCACTCTCTGAGACGGTCGTTTCTTAAACGAAGCACATTAGAGCGGGACAATGTACTTACGACGTTAACAATTTGTTTCGTGTTTGCTCGCGCATTAGCTATTCCAAAAATTGGATCAAACTGATTGACAAGAGCAAACTGAGACATTTGAGATCTCCTCTCTAGCGTTAAGATAGCTACCAACATTGACAAAGGTTGACGAAAAATGTTACAAGATACCGTCGTTTTTCTTTTAAGAGACATACATTGAAAACTTCTTGCGCGTATGTCTCAATTTCTTGCGAAGCAAAAATGAAGAGGAGCACTTCTCATGATACATTCTTACTGTATGAATCGTTCTCAATTCTCTTATGCAACCGGAAAATATGAATTTTTAATTTTGCCTTGCTTACGTTATACCACACATTTATAGCGTGAAACGCGTTATTATGATGTAACTAATACTTAGGTAATCCCGCCGCACTTTAGTGGTATAAGTTTCGATTTCCTTTCCTCTTGCTTTCTCGCAACACGAACCGACCGACTCGGTGATCCTGTTCGACCGACGTTTCAATGGCACGGTCGTCACGAAATTATTATTTTTATGTTCGCGCAACCCAAATTTGTCGATAGATTATATTTCTGTTTTTACATGTTTCAGTTATTATAGTCGTAAGACTACTCTGTTACCGTCGAGTACACCGTCTTAGCGTCGTTCATCTGTCGTGCTTCTTTATTTTTCGTTTTCTTACATGCTAGAAATCGAATTTGTTCTTTTTCTTTAGTTTTGTTCGTCCACCGCGTTTCTCTCCTCTAGTGTATAAATTGTATGCCGCTTATTTTTATTATTAGAGAATGGGATGCGCCCCGATCGGAGCTTTCGAGATGACGAATCGTGTTGAGTCGAATGCACATTTGTTCTTAGTTTTAGCACGTTGGGTGTTGGTTGCTATTCGCTAGTTTGCATGTAAACTTTGCTTAGTATTATATATTTTAATTTTATAGAAGAAATGTGACACGTAGGACAGAACCGGCCGAAGTTAACGATTGATTGATTTGATGAAATGAACGCAAACTCGATGCCGTCAAAAGCCAGAATTTGATATTGACAAACACGCTCGTGTCGAAAGCATCAAAATTCCGTCAGTATCAAATATCACATGTATAATTTTGCCTCCAGCACTCAACATGTTAAATATTCTTAATTTAAACGTTGCAAATAGCGCGATGTCCAGTAATGCTGCAACAATGACATGGGGCTATTTGCGTGTTATACGTGTGAAATGTTTAATTTATCAGAGCGTGAGACCAAGGATGACATTTTTATGAATTTACAGCTTGCACGTTCAGACCATTTACTGATAACTTGTTACGTTACGTGTTAAGTTTCTGTTCCAAGTGTCTACTGCCGACGTATTTGAGTCGCGTATCATCGAGATGCTCCGAGAGACACGGTCGATCCCACTCTTTTAATAAAACCGATTCGGTTCTCAGCGATCGAAGGATAGATAATGCGAATAGAGTATCGAGACTTATCGTTGTGGTTACCCTTCACGTGTGTATTGCGACGGCTTTTTATGCGCACGCGCACGCGTGTGTACGGGCATTAATTGTGTTTTTGTATGTATGTACCTCTGTCACGTACGGACGTATACATATGATGTAATAAATGTCTGCGTGAGCGATACCGTTGATCGCCGGAGTGTCGTCGCGTTTAACGTCGCGCTCAACGTCGCGCTCTGCGTTTATTCTTGATTCTCTACCCTTTTTTCTTTTCTTCTTTTTAGTACTCTCGTACTCTTTTTTTTTTTCTTTTGTTCAATTACCGTAACCACTTTTCGGCTTTGAACGGTTGACGGAGAAATCGCGGAGATCATGTTAGCGTATCGTTGAATATACTTATATTTTTCTTTTCTGTTCTACTTCGTCTACAACGCGGTCAGCATGTGACGTATGTTGAAAATAACAATACATATATTTATTTTGTTGTTTTAATTTTTTTTTCTTCGCTTTACTGTCATTCCTACGATCCCGATCCCTATGGCCGTAGCGTGTAATTCGATCTTAGACGACTGTTTCAATGATCCATCAAAGCATATTATCTTGACTTTGACGAAACAACGCGGCGCTAATAATATCTCCCTGTTCGACAAGAAGACGATCGTCATATTTCTATCGTGTAATTGTCATTTTTATACATGTATGTTTTGTACATAAACCGGTGGGACTCACATCATTTATATATGGCGTGGATGTTCGTTACTTTTGCTTTCAGAAAGTCATTTCGTTTATGGTCTGCGAATCAAAAAAGTCTATGGTCTTTAATTTATTGTTAGTTAATATATTACTAATTTATTTGACACATATATTCGGATTACGCGCGTGTCATGCGCTCGTGTCGACGTCGAGAGCGGTATTACCTCGAGTTGTGATTTAAACTGAATCTAACACATTACCAATCACTTCTATATCGAAGACTTGATATGAGAAAGTCTGTAAGAGTGTATTATATTTTTCGGAAAATTATTTTCCGTTGGTGAAGATTACGTGCCAAGGCGCACCGATCGCGAGAAGCCGTAGATGTCGTGAATGGAAACGTTCGCGAGGTGCGAACGCAGAACGCGTGTATAGAAAATTCCTTTTTTGTAAATAAATAAAATAAAAGATTTCTAAATCTAATTTTCCTCAAGATCTCTCTCTCTCTCTCTCTCTCTCTCTCTCTCTCTCTC